CTGGGATGTTGTCTTTACACTCCCTGTCCAAGAATGTGCTTCTGAGGTCTCATCCTGGGTTAAAGCTGGAATCGACGCTTTCATCCCCTCTAAGAAATTTAAGGTCAAGTCGCACTCCTCCCCTTGGTTCTCCGCTGCTTGCTCAGCCGCCATTGCCCATAGGAATCACGTCTTTCACATATTTCGTAGCGACATGTCGGACTGCAATAGACGTCTCTTTGCCTCCGCCCGTAACGAGTGTAAGCGTGTCCTCAACGAAGCTAAGTCAATATTTGCTGCTCGGATGAAGGAGCGTATCTCGAAAATTTGGCTCCAAAGATTATTGGCGGCTGTGCAAGAGCGTCCTGAATAATAGAAAACCATCCATACCTCCTTTATTCAACCAGTTCGAGGTCTTGACCTCCTCTACCGACAAGACTGAATGCTTTGCTCGGAAATTCTCATTTAATTCAACGCTCGACTCCACCGGTGTACCCATACCAGACTTCCCTCTAAGAACTGAGGCCCTATTGAGCGGCTTACACTTAACTCCGTTATTGGCACCGGGCATTATCTCCAATTTAGACCCCCACAAGGCTAGTGGTGGAGATGGCATACCAGCCATTATCTTGAAGAAATGCGCGCCTGAGCTAGCGCCCGCCCTCTCTAAACTGTATAAATACTGCCTCAAGGAATCCTGTTTTCCTGACTGCTGGAAGTCCTCATCCATTGTTGCTGTCTTTAAGAACTCTGGAGACCCCTCTGACCCCTCTAATTGCCGTCCTATTAGTCTCCTACCCCTCTTCAAAGTCTTCGAAGCCCTAATTAATGCCGAAGGGGTTAACCACCTTACATCCCATGATCTGCTCTCAGACAAGCAATATGGTTTCCGCTACGCCCAATCTACAGCTGATGTGCTTACGGCCATCACTGAAACCGTCTACCAAGCCCTTCAAAATAACGGTAAGGCTCATGCCGTGGCCCTAGACATCTCCAGAGCTTTTGATAGGGTTTGGTATGCCGGCCTTCTTCGTAAGCTCCAGGGCTATGGTATTACTGGTCAACTCCTCCAGTTCCTATCCCACGAACGCAGGTGTCCCCAAGGCTCCATCCTTGGCCCACTCTTTTCCTTATTTTCATCAACGACCTTCCTGACGCCATAGATTCCCAAGTTGGCATCTACGCGGACGACACTACAATTTACTCCTGCCTCAAAAACAAATCTAGTGTCGGCGACAAAACTAACCTGGCCGTGTGTCTTGAAATGGACCTGCAATCGGTTGTTAACTGGGGCAAGAATTGGCTGGTCAACTTTAACGCCTCAAAAACTCTCCATTAACCACCATAGAGATCCTTCCCTGCCCCCACTTAAAATGTCTGATAGTCAACTTCCTGAGAGCAACCCCCTGCGTCTGCTCGGTCTCACGTTGACTGCTGACCTGAGATGGAACAAATACATTAAGTCAATTGCTTCTTCCACCGCGAGTAAAGTTGGCTCTCTGTGCCGCGCCAGGAAATTTTTCTCCCCGGAATCGATACTTCAAATTTACAAAACAACCATTCGCCCTTGCAAGGAGTATTGCTTCCATATATGGTCTGGGGCACCTTCTGATTTACCTCGGAGTTTTTGACAAGATACAGAGACGGATATGTAATGTAATTGGCCCTGATCTGGCGTCTCGTCTGCAGTCACTGTCTCACAGACGCGCCGTCGCCTCTCTCTGTCTTTTCTACAAATACTTTCATGGTAATTGCTCCGATGAGCTGCTTTCACTGGTTCCCAGACTTCATGAATTCTTCAAGCGCCCTACGAGGCTGGCCTCCTGCTCTCACCTTTTCACTGTAGAAACTTTTAAATGTAGCCGTCTCTTCTACTTCAATAGCTTCATACCTCGCACCTCTCGCCAGTGGAACACCCTTCCCAATTACTGTTTCCCTGAGAGCTATAATCTCCAACTATTCAAATGTAATGTCAATCGACACCTCCAGTTACCTTGATCTATCCACTATCCCTCTCCTCATCCTTTCTTCTATCACTCCTATCTGCTCTCGCTCCAAATCTTCCGCAACCCCCTGCATCCTAGTGGCTTCACGCCTTGCTTGGGGCGTAATGCTTAAGAAAAAAAAACAAAAAAACCCTTTATTTCGCCCACTGTTCTAGTTCCACGTGCCATGTTTTAATGGATGTCAGTTATCAGTTATCTCCTGTTAATTTCCCTCTGAAAGTTCTCCACTGCCTTAACCGGGTATTGAACTCACACTCTTTGGGTCCTGTCACTGGATCTAACCAACGCCTTTATCCACTGTGCCATGTCTATGAATTTCTGGGTATTATAAACCTAATGTCTTCAGCAACCATTTTTACCAGTGCTCATATTGCAACTTTTGCTGTTATCATTACATAATTTTAACAGAGCTCATACTGCAACTTGTTACTATCGCTTTTTCTCTGGCACTCCTTATTACTGGTTCCCATATTGTATCCATTTTTATGCTTGGTCGGCTCAGGAGATTTTTTTGGTCTAGCATATGTGTTGATTCCTTAAGTTTTACAATGGCGTTCCTTGATCACTGCCCTCTGTGGGATCAGCTTGAGATCATAGACAATGCACACCATTGAGCGAAATAAAGGGTTAAGTTCGACATTCCAACCACCTAAAGAAGGCCAGAGTGTACAACGGCCGAAACGTTGTAATAATATGGCGACAAAGATGAGGACAATAGTCCAAATAATATAAATAATGTACATAATACCTTATCTCAGAAATATAGACAGATAATGATGTTTCTTAGAAGATATTTTTATTCTCTCTTTGGTTACCGATCTTTTGTTCTTCAATGTTGAATTCAGGGAAACTGCTGATCTCTCTTTTAGCATTTCCACAACTGGATGGAATTTTATATATTCAAACCCTGACGTGCCAAAAGTCATAGGATAGTTAACGACTATCGTTTTGGATTTTGGACCTCCTCTAGATTTTCGAATTGTAGCATTTCTGCGTGGCATCGATTTCAAAGGTAAATCATGCTCTCTTGAATGCTGTATACAAACCCCTGGCCAGGACTTTGCCTATGAACAGAGAGCTTCATCTAAAGTAGTTCCTCAATTACCATCAGCCTTCGTTCGAATTCAACTGGGAAATGTTCTGATTTAGTTTAACAAGGAACGGAAGCTAAAATATCGTCCCTGCGAGAAAAAAAAACCCCAGAAATCATTCTTTCGATATAATGAATTCCATATTCACTGTCCGACCTGGGTGGTACTTAGGTCCCTTAGCTTTTTTACTTTCTTACGCCGACCGATTGATATTGACGTACTTCTCTCGATTGATTGATTCGTTTCAACATTTTGCGGGTTATTTAAAAACAAAAAATATTTTTTAGATTCTAAGAATTTTTTGAAGATAATTATGATTTAATTATACAAGTCTTACTAATTAACCCATAGCTGGGGAGGATAAAAATTGGATTCATTCCTTTCTCAAGAGTATTCGCACGTAAGTGAATATAACAAAACTAATGGGAATTCGAACTCGGCTCTCCGATTAACAATTCCGGGTACATTATCCATTACACGGTCCGCACACCCAAACTAACCGAACTTGGTATTCCCAAGCGGTCACCCATCTAGGTACTGACCAAGCTCGACGTTGCTTAACTGTGGTGATAACCCAAAAACGTCTCTTCTCTCACTGTAAATATACGTATTTAGAATGCCTTGAGTAGAATTCTTACTTTACAGTCGAGTGTTGCTTTATCATGTAATATTTATTTATACGTGTTAATAATGATTTTTTTTTTCTTTTCTCATATTATTTAACACTCACTAACTCCTAGCGTCTTAGTGGCTCTGTTGCCTTGCTTGAGGTGAAATGACTAGAAAAAACTTATTTCCTTTTCTCAACTTATGGACAGCAGAAGATTGCTTTGAAAATCGCCAGTGGCTCGGAAAATATTATTTACAGTCTAATGGACTACTTGGTTTAACTTATTGATGAGGGGGTGCCATTTGTTTCACATTTCCATAAGCTCATGCCATGGTAACCTTATATCCCATTATCATTACATATTGTTATAACATGATTTTTGCAACACCAATATATCTTTTAATCATTTCACCCTAAACAAAGCAACAAAGCCACTAAAACGCAAAGGTTACTAAGTGTTAGCCAATAGGAGGGAAAAAACAATAAAAGAACAAGAATTAAAAAGACAGAAGCTAACGATTGACATTGCCTTTAAATTTTTGTAGATCAAAGTTAACTGAGAATCAAGAAACTGGGAGAGTTCCGCAAGTGAGAAGTGCGATAGAAGAAACTGTTAGCATAGAACTTACGGTTACATTTAGCAATTTCATCTGTTAAATAATGAGACCTCGCCGCCAATCTAGTACTGCACTTAAATTCATAAAGTCTAGGTAACATAGAGGAAATTTCATCAAAACAATTTACCATGAAAGTATTTATAGAAAAAGCACAGGGACATCATATTACGGCGATGAGAAAGTGATTGAAGCCGAGATGCCAGGTCAGGACCGATAGTATTTTACAGGCTTATTCTGCTAAGGAGGCGACAGAGTGTGGTTGCACTATTGAAAGACGCTCTGTCAACAAGACCGCACATTGCTGACCTGAGAGAGAATTGTATAAACATTGGCAAAAACAAACATTAAGCGAAAGAAAAACACAAAGATCAAAACTTACTTACTGATAAGAAGAACAGTAATAAAATGCTTCCTATTGTCATTAGCCTCTCTCAAGTTAAGTGTCCTTTCATAATATGCAAGGTTACAGACCTTTATTAACAAGCTTTGGGCTCAGTTCTGTTTGTCTCTACGGACGATTTCGTTGACATTGTTCGCCATGACACCGGCAAAGTTGCGGGCGATATGCACATTCGTCAACGTCCATGTTGTTTTTATGTTCTTTGTAAAGCGATATTCCGTAAATATGGCATTTATTGACTGCCTGGAGATTGCAGAGTGAATTCTATCTGCGTTTGCAAATTAAACCTTCTGAGACGATAAAGGCTTCAGAATAATGGTGGGAAATTTCAAGAACGAATGCGAGAAAGAGAGAAAGAGAAAGGGAGGGAGAGAGAAAAAGAGAGAGAGAAAGACACGTAGACAAAGAGAGAAGTTCTAAGCATTTTTACCCAAATGAATGTGAAAATATGACCGAAAAAAAGGTTGAAGAATTGAAAGAAAAGTAAAAAAAAATCAACGATGATATGAATAATCTGGAGAGAAAAAATTCGAAGAATTTTCTAATAGCAAAGCGATAGTTGACGATGTAAACAATGAAGACAAAAAAAAATAAAAAGAAAGAAAGAAAGAAAGAACGAAAGAAAGAAAGAATATTATAGAAATGAAAAAGAAAGGAAGGATGAAAACACAAAGAAAGAAAGAAAGAGAGAGAAAGAAAAAAAGAAAGAACGTCAAAGGTAAGAAAGAAATAAAGAAAGAAATGTTGAATCTCATAGAAGAGAAGAAAAATGATAGTGATAGAAACAATGAGAAAGGAAGAATACGGAAAAATCAGAAAAAAAAGAAAGAAGGAAAAAAGAAAGAAGAAAAAAGAAAGGAAGAAAAAGAAAGAAAAAAGAATATTATACAAATGAAAAAGAAAGAACGGATGAAAAAAGAAAGGAAGAAAGAGAGTAAAAGGTAAAAAATAAATAAAAAAGAAATCTTGAATTTTATAGAAAAGAAGAAAAATTATAAAGATAAAGGAGAATGAGAAACAAAGGATACGGAAATAAAGAAAGAAAAAGGAATAAGCGAAAGAACGAAGGAAACATATTATGAAAAAGGGAAAGAAAGAAAACTAAAAGAATAAAAAGGCGGAAACGAGCAAGAATAAATGAAAAGAAGAAAAAAAAACAATTGAATAAATAATAGAAATATGAAAAAGAAATAGAGTAGAGAAATATTGAATTAATGAATGAAAACTAAGTGCGAAAGAAATAAGTTAAATGATAATAATAGACGATAAAAGAATAAAAGAAATGAAAAGATGAAGGATGAAAATAAATGAAAGAAAAAGTAGGAAAGAAAAATGAAGAAAATGAAGGAGATGAAAATCGAAGACGAATAAAGAAGGAAGGAAAGATAACGAATTGAAAGAAAATAAAGATTGAAAAAAAAAGAAGAAAAATGCGACGATAAACAATGCTCATAGAAAGGACGAAAGAAAAAAAATGAAAAATAATGAAATGAAAGAAAGAAAAACAGATGATAATCAATTAATTGAAAGAAGATATATAGTAAAAAAAAGATGGACGAACTTTGTAAATGGAGATAAAAGAAAGTAGAGCAGTGTACAGAAAAAAAGCAAGCAAGAAAGAAAGACAAAGAAAAAGAAAGAAAGAAAGAAAGACAAAGAAAAAAAAGAAAGCAAGAAAGAAAGACAAAGAAAAAGAAAGAAAGAAAGCCAAAGAAAAAAAGAAAGCAAGAAAGAAAGACAAAGAAAAAAAAGAAAGAAAGACAAAGAAAAAAAAAAAAAAAAAAAAAGAAAGCAAGAAAGAAAGACAAAAAAAAAAAAAAAGAAAGCCAAAGAAAAAAAAGAAAGCAAGAAAGAAAGCCAAAGAAAAAAAAAGAAAGAAAGCCAAAGAAAAAAAAGAAAGCAAGAAAGAAAGACAAAGAAAAAAAAGAAAGAAAGCCAAAGAAAAAAATGAAAACAAGAAAGAAAGACAAAGAAAAAAAAAGAAAGAAAGACAAAGAAAAAAAAAAGAAAGAAAGCCAAAGAAAAAAAAGAAAGCAAGAAAGAAAGACAAAGAAAAAAAAGAAAGAAAGAAAAACTGACATAGAGAAAGACGAAGGAAACAAAGTTAAAAAAAGAAATAAAGGAACAAAAAGTAATGAAGAATAAGTGATATAGATAAAAAAAAGAAGAAATATTGCATTATATAGGTGGAAATATAAAATGACATAGGAGAAAATGAAAGAAAGAAAATAGAAATAAAAAAGGATATCAAATAGAAAAAGAAGAAATAATGAAAGATGAAGAAAAAGTTTATAGAAAAGAGAGAATATAAAGAAAAAGACGAGAAGAACGTGGGAAGATAAAAAAAGAGAAAAGTAAATAACCAGAAAGAAAGAATATTATAAAAAAGAGAAAAAAGGAAAGAAATTATAAAGAAATAAAGAAAAAGAAAGAAAGAAAGAATATTATAAAAAAGAGATAGAAAAAGGAAAGAAATTATAATAAGAAAAATAGAAAAAAAAGAAAAAAGAAAAAGAAATAAAAAGAAAGAAAGGTTTAATTTTCGAAAGAAAGAAAAAAAGAGAAATAAGAAAGAAAGAGAAAGAAAGACAGAAAAAGAACGGAAAACTAAAGAAAGAAAGAAAGAAAGTAAGAAAGAAAAGAAAGAAAGAAAGAAAGAAAGAAAGACAGAAAGAAGGAAAGAAATTAGGAAAAACGGAAAGAAAGAAAGAAAGAAAGAAAGACGGAAAGAAAGAAAGAAATTAAGAAAAACGGAAAGAAAGAAAGAAAGAAAGAAAGAAAGAAAGAAAGAAATTAAGAAAGACGGAAAGAAAGAAAGAAAGAAAAAAATTAAGAAAAACGGAAAGAAAGAAAGAAAGACGGAAAGAAAGAAAGAAATTAAGAAAGAAAGAAAGGGAAAAAGGCAAGAATGGCAGAGAAAGAAGCAACAGAGAAAGTAAAAAAGAATAAAAAAAGGGAAAACGACAACGAAAGATAATATAAATAATAAAAACATCGTCATATAAATTATAAAACAGATCAAAATGATAAGAACAAAGGAAAAAGAAAAATGAAAGAATTGATTGATTTCTTTGTTTTTTTTTTTTTTTTTTTTTTTTTTTTTCACGGCTTACCAACCTTTTGCAAGCTGTGTAAAGCCAGAAAATATATTTAGTTTATATGAATTGGAGATGATAATGATTTTTCTGATACAAAATTCCCACAATAAACCCATATCTAAAGAGAAAAAAAAAGCTGGATACATAGATTTCCAAGGGGTAATTATTCGTAATCGAATACAAAGAAGCAAACTTGCACTGGAACTTGTCTCTTCAATTAACTATACAGAGACATTATCCATTACACCATACGCGCATCCAAGCTTACTGCATCTGCTATTCCCAAATGGTCATCCATCTCGCCACTGAGCAGACTCGAATTTGATTAACTTCGCTGATCGTACGAGAACCGGTGTTTAAACGTGATAGGGCCGTAAGCAAAGAAAGAAAGAAAGAAAGAAAGAAAGAAAGAAAGAAAGAAAGAAAGAAAGAAAGAAAGAAAGAAAGAAAGAAAGAAAGAAAGAAAGAAAGCGTGGAAAAATGAAGGAAGCGTGGAAAAATAAATAAATGAATAAATGAAAGTATGGTAACAAAAACAATGAATAAATGAATCTACTGGAAGAAAAAGAAAGAAGGAAAGAGAGAAAGAAATAGAGAAAGAAAGCGATACGGAAAGGAATCATTGACGAAAAAAGCATGAAAGAAAGAAAGTATCGAAGAAAGAAAGAGTCGAAGAAAGAGTCGAAGAAAGAAAGAGTTGAAGAAAGAAAGAAAGAGTCGAAGAAAGAAGAAAAGAAAGAAAGCGTCAAAAAGAAAGAAAGAAAGAAAGAAAGAAAGAAAGAATTAACAACATTGAAATCAAAATAAACACTTCGCGTGTTACCGGGATTATAGACAATGAAACTAAGCAACGGACAAAAGCCATAGCTACAAACCAACGTAAACTCTGGCTGTAGGTCATTAGTCAATATCAGAGCCAATCATTTGCTCACTGTTCACGAAAAAACAATTTCCATGATTTTGTGTTGTCCATTTTTTTTACATTGTTAAAGACAAAGTATAGACCAAATAAACATTTCTTTAAGCGTCAAATCAAAACAAGATCGCCATAAAAAAAATCAAAACAAATTTGAAAAAAACAAACAGTTAACAGAAAGATTTTAAGATTAAGACACGACGAAAGTTTTATTTCTAACAGAATGTGTAGTTATTGGTCCAATGAATTCCGATTATGCCAAATAGATCTCTCGTTTAAATATATTCACTCTGAACAAAAACTTCGAGTGATCCAAATAAATTTATTGGATAAATATATTTTGTTCTCCACCAGCATGGCTGATGCTAATCTCCAAGACAGCGACTAATTTCCCCTTCTCTGGCCAACGTTTTCCAATTACATGATGTAAAAAAGATCATATTGAATCAATTGCTAGGTCAGCTGCTAAGAAGACTAGCTTACTGTGTCGTGCTAGACAAATTTTCTCGACTTAATCTATCTGACACATAAGTCTACCATTTTCCCATGCCTTGAATATTGCAGGCATATCTGGTCTGGTTCTTCTGCTATGTGTTTAGAGATTCTTAATAAAATACAATGAAGAATCTGCAACGTTCTTGCTCATGACCTAGACTTTTGTCTTGAGTTACTTTTCCAACGCTATTAGATAGCTTCCCTGTTCATTTTCTATAAACATTTACATGGTAATTATACTGATGAACTTGCCTCTATGGTACAGCGACTTTATGAATTTAAGCGCAGTACAGACAAACCTCTCATCAACGGACTAATAGGGGAAGATTTAGTCAGTTAAAGCCGATTGTCCGTAGATTGGAAGTTTTTACTTTTTAGTTACAAAACCACTATAGTAACTACCAGTACTTATGATCATAATGAAAATAATATAAACTTGAATATATGACATAAATAAATATATATTTAATATAGATATCTTAATCAAAATAACAAAAAATAATAGACTTCTCACAGTTGCTTTCTCAAGCACGCGGTAATTTATCGTACTTTATATACTGTACACCCGTCTTTGTTTACAACTGAAAAGCCAGCCACCACCGCCAAGCGGTCACTTTGAGAACTTATACGACTCGTTCCGCTAAGCCCGCAAAGTTTGAAATACATCGCTGACGATTTGGAAGTATTTTTCCTGCATAACTTCATTTTTTTTTTATTTGACCTGCAGATTTTGTCCGTTGCATCTAAAGTCTGTTAACGGGATATCCGTAGATGAGAGGTTTGTCTGTACTATATTGGCGACAAGGTTTCATCATTTTACAGTTGAATTGGCTAGATGCAACCGTAAGTTATATGATCACACTTCTCGCTTATGGAACTGTCTTCCAGCTTTTTGCTTTCCAGTCAACTTCGAAATTCTAAAGTGTACATACAATTTCAGTCGTTATCTTCTGACTTAATTCTTGCTCTTTTATTGTTCTCTCTCCTTAATAATGTTTTATTTTTCTCATATTCTCTCACACCGTGTACTCTCAGTGTGATAGGCTGATTTAATTAAGGGGCAAAAATAAAATATGTCAGCCTAACAATTTCATCTCAAACTGAGTTTTGTTTATAGTTATAGTCGCTAAAAAATTATTTTTTCGATCACAATGCCCTCAGGACGACCAGTATTAAAACAGAAAGAACTATAACTATATATCATAGATAACCCGGCAAAGGAAAATTCACCAACTTCTCCACAATGACAGTATTATTTTTTTTTTTTTACATTACATTTTTTTGTAACAAAAATTTGAAATCCGTAGATTTCGTCTGCCTAAGATCAATTCACAACGTGGGTAGGTTAGACTGGAAATCAAAGCAGTTACTTCGGTATTTATCATTTCACCCACGGGAAACGAATATGGCACAAGGCCGGTTTTATTGTGGGTTTCTCCGAGCCCGTAGGCTCGGCCAAAAAAAATAGCCTTTTGAAGCCGATTAGACGGGTTCAGGCCCTGTCTACCTCCGCGGACGAAACCTTGCCCTTCGGCAAAGCCTCGTCCGGGTTCCTCTCTGCTAACGCAGAGAGTTCGACAGACGTCGGAAGTCAGCTCAAGAACTTCTCAAAGCAGTTACTTCAGTAACCAGACGTTGGAGGCGAGCTGGGAACGACAAGGCTGATACCGAATCTAACCAGAGTTATTTTGCACACACCAATAACTATCTCATTACAGCGGCTCCTTTCTTTGAACATCTATTGGAACTCAAGCACACTCCAGTCCTCAGTGGAGTCGAATGTATCGTATCAGAAATAACCTTACACTTTCTACCATGGCTGAAGTGTCAGTCAAGGTAGAGGCTTACTGAGTGAGATTGTTGTAAGGGACGTTCAAGGAAGAAGAGGCACATCTTACGTGGATATGTAGGGTTGTATATATAGGTTGACCCTAGACTTAAAGATTGTAACGGTCTAGGGATCATCGTCTTGGGAGTTTGTTCCACAAAGTAACAGTTCTTATCAAAGAAATACGAAAGGAATGTGGATGAGTTGATATTGTTCATGCGGTATGTAGGGTCATAGCCGAATTGGTGGAACTAATGAACGTAACTCGTTTGAACATTTACCATAGTAAATAGCGACACAGGGTCAGTTTAATGCGCTTTGCTCTTACATATACATATGGAGGAAGAACAAAAATCCGCTCGCTCCCCATAATCAGAGTCAGACTGGCGTCTGTCTCTACCAAATCTCAATCTTTAGTGTTATGAGGAAGGCGCTGCCGCAAGGTTGCAATCCCTGGGACCAGGTTAGCATCTTAATGTTAAGAGGAAGAAAGAACAGAAATAGGACGCAGGTTCGAATCCTGTCAAAGGACGAATATTTTCTATGAAAATTTCTCGGACATTCAGGCCGGTAAATGTTATTTAATACTGTTTATTATAAACAGAGCATTTACTTAAATACTTGTATCTATAAAAAAGAACGTAAAACATAAAAATGTCTTTAATAAATAAATTGTCGGACTTTGTCCATTTCTTAATATATAAAGAACAGAAACTATATTTTGATCCCAGTTCGAAGACCAGGTAAAGGTATTCATGATCTAAACGTCATCAAAGACAGAAGTCACCAATTAATGATTGAAATGAGAGTCATTGGATAAGTTACGACTCAAAGACCTATTTGATCTACGAGGAAAGCTTGTTTTGTATGGGAAAGATATGAGACTAACCTGTAACCTTTACTGGAATCAAAGAGCTTGTCTGCAGATAGAGAACTATTTTTGGTAAACGTACAGCAATTATAAAGATTTCTCACCGGAAGTATTTTGACTACACAACCTGAAGACTCTAAAAGAGTGACATGATCTACCAGGATTTATTAGAGATCATAAAGGCTCCTTCCTTTGAACATCTATTGGAACTCAAGCACACTCCAGTCCTCAAGTGAAGTCGAATGTATCGTATCAGAAATAACCTTACACTTTCTACCATGCTCTAGCTTGAAAATAGCCAGATCAGACCAAAAAGATAGGTTTTTTTTTCTTATTTTTTGAATCGCGTTCACGCCAGGCAAGTTGCTAAACTCATTTAGACACAAAGGGTTACTGGATGTGGAAGAATTAGAAAACAGAAACATTGTTAAGGAACGAGAACAATAGAAGAGTAATCAAGAAGACAGTAGATGACAATAGATTATTTTTTAATATTAAAGTTGGCTGGGTAGCATGGGACCGGAAGGAAATTCCACAAGGGAGAAGTGCTAGAAAATATACTGTTAACATAGAATCTACGGTTACATCTAGATAATTCTACTATAAATTGCTGAGATCTCGACACTTGTCTATCACTGTGCTTGAATTCAATTAGACTAGGTACCATAACGAAAAGCCATATTCATTTCTGCTTATTTACAGAAAATGTGGCACACGGCCAAAAATGGGGAATGGGGAAAAGAACAGTCTTCTTCTGTCTTAAATTTAAACTTAGCTAGCCACAAAAAACTGGCCTAAACATACCAAAATATTTCTAATACCAAAACAACGCATTTTTACTTACATTTCTTATTACATCCACCATAATACCTCATTGTCTCTATGAAAATCCTATCTAGTCCCCATATGTACAATTCATTGTCTGTGGAGGGAGGGAAATAAAACAACATAGCAAAGAGCTGATCCGAACAATTACCATGAAAGTATTTATAGAAAAAACACAGGGAAGTAACCTTACAGCGGTGAGAAAGTGATTGAAGCCGACCATATCTGGTATGGAGTCGCCTGATCCTAAATTTAAAATATGATTTCCCAAGTGTTTATGTTTCTTTGTTGGTGATGCATTATGTTACACCTTACTGCCCACAGACAAAATGTTGCTAATCTCTCGGTAACGCCATCGCTATTTTCATGGCAAAGTTTCAGACAAGCTATATCCCTTGGTTCAGATTTCATAGCTAGGGTACGCCATGATACCTACACTGTTGTAACGTGACGCGAAATAACTTAGCAGTACTAAAATAAGAACAAGATGTGATACCCCTAGAGATGATCAGCGGAAGGAAGATAATCTATACCCGTAGATTAAGTAAAGAGATCAACACAAAATTCTCTGAACGACAAGCACTTTATGAATGCCAAAGGGCTCAACGGTCGAAACGTTATGTTAATATTTTTAACAAAGGAGTATGGCAAGGAGTTAAAAAATAGTTGGAGCAACAAAATAGTGGAAGTTATAGAGGACCCTTATCTTATATATCCTATACTGAACTGGGACATAATTTGCATATTGACAGAAGTGAATGATCTCAGCTCGGCCTTTTCTCTGCGGTGAAAGCCTTAACTATTTTTATTAATTATCTCGACATATACATTATCTAACAAACTATTATCTATATGGGGAACCGTTTCGAACAAGAAAAGAGAACACGTCTACATCGCTTGACGGGTAAGAAACAACTCGCTGAAACATTTTCTCCTATCTCTTTCCCACGCTAGCTCAGCCAATCAAAATCGACTTTCCTAGTATAGTTCGCATCTGACCGCAGCTTTCAACCTCCAGAAGTCGGAACCGAGATACAC